TATATACACATATATATATATATATATATACATATACACACACACACACACACACATATACACACACTTTAACACAATAGGGGTAATTAGAACTAAACAAAACCACAAATTACAAACATTGGCAGTACAGTTAGGTTTGGCAAAAAAAAACTGATCTATATCTTATAAAAATGAAAACACACCAACAGCAAACAAATACTAAGTGAAAGATGCAAAAAATTAAAAAAGGAAAATTCTAATTCCCCCCTTTAAGCTGCACCTGATGGAACAGTCCAATTTCCCCTCCTGCATTTAGCAGATTTGAACCCTGGTTGCAATCTTTGTCTGGCCAAACTCCTAGGCACCATAGGTAAGAAACATTGGTGACAAAAACAGAAAGAAATATGAATGAATGTAAACAAATACAGTGAACTAAATGTGTGCGCTTACAAATAGAACACAGGCATTTGAACTAAGAATAAAGTTTTATTGCAAACTAAAGTATGTGTATGGATTAAATAAATAAGCATGTACAGTCCAGACTTAAGGTGTAGCCATGGGTTTGGCCATCACAGTCAGACAAAGAAAATAAAGTCACAAACCACATAATAGGGTTTAACAATAACATGGAGTGCAATTCAGACATAAATTATACTATTTGGTCAGCATGCAAACGCTTCACTCTAAATGTCTCCATGTTGAATCATGGTAGAGGTTGCATCATGCTGTGGGGGACCTTTTTTCTCAAAAGTGACAGGGCACTAGGTAACAGTTAATTGGGGATGTGGAAGTGGCTAAGTGCATGGTCATTTTTGAAAGAAAACCTATTAAAGGTGTTAGAAATTCTCAATTTAAATGTATCCTAGATATTTCTAAAACAAGAATTAAAAATAAATTTTATTCACTTGGTATACTGAGTAATTGGAGTGTGATCCCAGATTATTCAAGGCAATTATTGCAGCCAAAAACATGTACTGACTAAAGGGGTAAAAATGCAATCATATATATATATATATATATATATATATATATATATATATATATAATCCCTTTTTTATAAAGTTTATAATAATGTTTACTATGTCAGAGGGTGTTGAGGGTTTGGATATTGTCAATGATTCTATTCCACCTGAAAGAATTTTCAAATATACAAATATTTCAAATATAAATCCTTGTGAGTATAAATCCTTGAGAAATTAAATATACTTTTGCACAATCTAGGCGACTTGAAGGTTAAAGATGCCTCTGATTCCTGCGCTCTGCTTCCTGATTATCTTGGCGCGTTGCGCCATCTTGTGCTCATCCTTCGCAACTGCAACTTAAAGTGAAGTTTATTTTTGCCTAGCAACGCAGAGATTGTCAACAAAGAATTTCTCTCGGTTTCCGAACATACGCAATAGTAAGGGAAAATGGATTGCATTCTTAAAAACCTAGCTCTCGTGGAACTTATAAAGAAAGAGGAAAGATATTACAAACTGCAAACTGAGGTCACCGTCAATCCTTTTAGGAAAGGTGAGTGTCTTGACATATTTAAATTTTCTTACTAATCGAAATTAAAAAGTTGTGTGAAATCCTTTCGATCCAACATGAATTATATAGCCCAGGGATGTCAAAGTCAAATACACTGAGGGCCTAAAAAACAAATTTGCTACAAGCTGAGGAATGGAATGGCTACATGTTTATCAAAACATGAAATTAACATAGCCTATTGAACCAAGACCTAACATATTGGTTTTGTTGTTTTTTAAAAAGAAATATATCAATATTATCAATAAACTTTTTTTATATTAAACTAATAAAAAAAAAATGAAAATGCATTATTGTGCTGTATGATCCTACCGATAACTGCTTTCAAATAGTAAAATAATAAAAAATTCAAATCAGTTGTATTCTCTCTCAGGGCTCTTATCTGCATTTTTCCCCTGAGTCCATTCAACTGAAAAATATCAATAAATAAAATAAAAATCTATGTAACACACACAAAACAATACTTCCTGCAAAGAAAACTCACGTCTTGTGCAAAGAAATGTAAAAATTTTGTGATGAAGCACGGCAGCGGACCCAGAATTCCGCCAGAGGTTCTTTAAAAAAGGATTTCATTAAACAAAAAGCAGAGCAATAACAAAAAGGACCGAAGCATCAAACAGAATACAGACTACAGGTGTCAGCAGAGGCTTGCCTATTTGATTAGTTATCAAAAGCCACCAGAATCAATTTAGACTCAGAGATGATAAGCTGTTATATTAAGATAATTTCTTAGCTAATAAGGAAAAATAAATAAGTTCAAGATTTTTCGAATACTGGGAAACTAGGGTCCAAAGAAAACTTTGGAAATACAGTTTTTATGGAGCCAAATTTATGGCATAATGTTCCAAGGTGGCTGAATTTTCCTGTTATACATATTTGACACAAAGTGTTTAAAATGTTTTGATAGAAGAAAAACCATTGAATAAGTTCTCACATAAGAACAGTTACTATATGCTACATATGAGGTTTTTCAGAGCATTGGGATATAGAATATAATGCTTTTCTTTTACATATTGGATTAAAATTTGTTTCCCCATGGCTTTATCTCCTGTATATTATAGTACATGTCCTCGCAGATAAACCCATGTCCAGAAAACCCCCTGACGAAACACCAGAGGACAGTAAGTTTGTTTATAGTACAGATTTGTTTGCTTCACCTCGAGTGAAATATGCATTCTCACTTTAGAAAAATTCTTCTGTTAAATTATGTTTTCTGCAGCTGCCTTTCTTGAGGCTTACAGAAGGGCCCGTCTGGAACCCAATAAGAAATATCCCTTGCCCCTCACTGAAAGTCAAGAGATTGGATGGTTTTCCAATGAACTGGTGAGAAATAAGAGCTTATTTTTTCCTATTTCATTACAAAATGAGCTTTTTACTATTTTAGATAGAACTACGTTTTTAAATCCCATTCTCTAGGCATTTGATTAGCCCTTGAACTTCATGGTATAAATCCATCACAGTGCAAAGGTTTTACAACCATCTTTTAATCGTAACAGTTTTTGATACAGCATTGTTTAGAAATATGATAAAAAGTTTGTTAATAAGCAATAAAATAAAGGTTACTCTCAAAACATTCATACAGTCCTGCTTTAAAATGGATATCAGCATTTCCATAAATCTCGTCAGAGTGCTGCAGGAAAACACACAGCTGGGTTTTGAATTGGTAAACCATCACTAGACTGAGTACTCAAATCAGGAGTTTGAGTGATTTGGATTCTGTGCATATCTATCATTCATATCTTGAGTTAATAAAATGTAAAAAAAATAAAATAAAATAAAAAAATAAAAGCATTTCCACACAAATGTTTTGATTTAACAAAACCAAACTCACCATGGAAATGTTTGGCTGCTCATGCCAATGCAATTTCAGCAGAAAATTAGCAAACACAGATGAGGAGGAACGGGTGCCAGATTTTTTGCCAAAATTTCTCTCATTTAATTTCTCTTCTAAAATAAGGCCCCTAAAGCTGAAAAAAATAGCTTTAAAACTATTTTTAAACTGCACTATTCCACTCTTGGCTGTGGTTGCCATTGGTAACCATTAAGTTACACTGATCACATGGCCAACTCAAATATTAATTGACATTGAACACTGAAAAAGAATAATGCAACCGCTTTCGATATTTA